AATAAATAAATAAATAAATAAATAAATAGAATGGACTTTCTGAGGCCAGCCAAATAGCTCCGTGGATTAAAGCACCTGCTTAGGCAGGGGTTAGATCCCCCGCAGCATGCTATGCCAGCCCCACCCCCTGTATGTGCTGAGACTGTGATTGAGACTGGGCATAGTGGCATGCACCTGTAATCCCAGCTTTTGTAAGGCTAAACACAGGTGGATCACTACAAATCAGATCTATGTAGTGAGACCCTGTAGACCCTGTAGAATCTGCCCTAAAAATACAAAAAATAAAAATGGATTTCTGGCCTCAACTTGCTTGAATATGATTCCTGGCCTTACCACATAATTGATGCCATCCACAGTATATTGTAGCTCCTCTGCACCTTATGAAAATTGAATTTCAAAATATCTCCATTCCTAGTGTTTTTTTAAAATTAGGTATTAGGATTGAATAAATGAATAAAACCACCTAAAGTATTTGGAGCCTTTTTATTTGCTCTGGTTTTAAGTTTTTCAAGATACTTCTTTCAGTTAGTGCTGTGTGTAGCTACTGAACAGAAATGGGTCTGGCTAACTTAGATATGAAAAGAATGTACAGCAGAGTTGTAAAGCAGCCCACCAAGTGGAAGGAACTGGGAAGTAGGGCCAGGCCAGTGCCAAGGATGAACTAGCAAGAGTTCTTAGTCCTCTAGTTATTATTTATCTGTCCTAATAACAGGCCATTCACACTCCAGTCACCTACATGGGTAAGGTCCGACTCACCTGGGGACATAGGCTGGTCCTTGCTAGAGGCCAGGTGGTTGTTTTGAGGGGTCACTTTACAGTGAAGGTGCTGCCACTCCCCAAGAGGCAGCCAAGGTTTGTTATTAAAGCAAAACTGGAGACTAAGTGGCCTCCAACCAATATATATTTACCAGAGTCCCACAGTGTGCATTTTATTAGCTCTCTGAACTGTATTTTCAACAAAAGGCATAAATGAACAAAGTCACTTGCAATTAATTATGATAAAATATAGTGATACAAAACTCAGGAGATCTGGGCTCTAGGCCCAGCTTCTCTCTCACTGAGTTCACCACAGTCTTTTGGGTGCTGGTTTCTTTATTCCTAAGGTGACAATACAAGTGCTAAATGACCTCTATAGATAGTGCTGGCATCAGGATCCTCAGGTTCTCTGACTGTCCTTTGTATATGAAAATCTGTAATGCTTTTACACATGTACACACTCACACAATTTATTCCAGTCTTCAAGCTCAACTGGTATATGGATATTTGTAGGTAGTTTAAACTGTAAGTTACATTAGACTTAGTAATCCTCATTTAGTAACTGAATAGAATCTTCAGTTTGTAATTGTTATTTTAGTTTCTATTGAGGTAAAACAGGTGAAATGTGCATTTGAAGGAAGCCTGAAATTCCTTCACACTCAGATATACAAAGAGGTAGTGATATATAACCATTGATTTAGGGTACAAAATCATTTTTTAAAAAATGTTTTGGCAGTACCAGGGATCAAACTCAGGACCTTGTGCTTGCCTGGCAGGTGCATATGCCACTGAGGTATATCCGTGGCCCAAAAATAATTTTATTTCAATGGATTAATTATGAATGGTTTTCATTTAAACAGTTATTTTTTTTTCATGACTAAAGAACTATTGAATATATTTTATTGCTTTCTGGTAAGGCTATTCTAAGCTGCTTCATATTCTTTAGTAGTTTAAACTACTACAATTATTATTGGTTCCCACCTACACTAGATAAGTAAGACCTTTTTAGAGGTATTTATGATAACTAAAAGGATACTTTGGATATCTCTAAAAATACAGCTATTGTATTTGTGGTTGTTATAAAAACATTATTTACTTTCTACAAAGTATTAACCTGAATTATATTACCAATTAAAAAACAATAGTCAAATCTTTCTTTGTTGTTATAAATTTATAACATATTTCTTTGTTTTTCAAACAGTATTTTGTTTAAATTGTTAACCTTAGATTAGCAATTACAAGCAAAAATCAGATCTTACTTTAGTATTGTTACTATGTGTAAATAATTTATAGTATGACTATTTGGAATAAAGAAGTGTTAACTTATAATCACTTCAAAATTTAAAAGGTTAATTATCTTTCATTTGACAGCTTTCTGAGCCACAATGCCAGGATCAATTATCCTATTTATTTATTTTTATGTATTAGTACAGGTTCTACAGGATCTCACTACACAGACCGGACTCATAGTGATCCTCCTGTTTTCAGCCTCCTAAGCGCTGGAATTACAGATATTTGCTACCATACCTGGACTCAGTTGCTCAAATCCCAGGCCCTGCTTCTGCCTAAGCAGGTGCTTTAATCCACTGGGCTATCTGGCTGGCCCTGATTATCCTATTTAGAAAGACAACATAACATCTACAACTCTGACCAGTGGGCAGAAAGAACATATTCAAGATTTTAAACTCAAATATAGGCACAATTTCTAAAATGCTAAGAAAACTTAAGGAATTCTGAGAGGCAAAATTATTTTTTTATTCAAAGGTCATACTTTGAGATTTTAGAATAGTAGAGCTGTATAGAGGAGAATAATTGGGTTCATGAGACTATCCGCTAACCAAGAGTTCTGGGGCATGTTGTCATGTTTGAAAGCAACCTTACTTCTTACTTTACCTTACCTACATTTGCTACAGGAATGTTTAAGTTGCTCTCCATTGCATTAAGAAGGAATCAGAGTAGTGATTCCTAGGAAAAGGAACAGGAGGAGGATGTGAGCAGTTGGCTCTCAATGAGTATGCTAGGCACTGTTTCATTCTTCTGTGTGTATAAATAAGTTTCCACCTGTGCATTCCTGTGGTATAAGAACTCTTCGAATTCCTACTTTACAGATGAGGAAACTGAGGCATACAAAAATGAAGTGACTTGGGCAAGATTATAGTTACCCCGAGTCAGAATGATAGTCAGCCCAGCCTGGTTCTGCTGTCCTTACTCAAACCAATGTGACTCTGTAAGAAGATAAAACTTGCATAACTTAACCTTAGTGTCCAATGTGGTGGTGTTTTCTTTTTCCTTTCTGTGGTTCTAAGGCTTGAACTAAGGACCTTGGGCATGCTAGAAAAGTGCTTCACTACTGAGGTATGTCCTCAGCCCTGTCAGCTGTTGCGCATGCTGCAGTTTTGTTTTCAGCATTCCGTTATTACTGATTAGTTTTTGGTTATCTCTTCTCCAGATGGGCCTGGTTGAAACTCTCTGTGTATTCAGTTGAAGATTGATATGTTTATAAATCCACAAGGCAAATATGATTAGTTACAAATTTGGCTAAATTAAGACTGCAGTTTCCCTAGTAACAGAAATTGTGCTTCTTACCCATATGACTATTCCCGCGTAGGTAACACTGGGACAATTGGTACTAAATTTCTACTATAAATTTACACTTCCTGAATTTTCACTAAGGCAATCTGGTTTTCAAAAATAACCCATTTTTTGTGTAAAAATGACTTAAAGATGAAAAACTAATCAGTATATTAATGAAATTGGCCCTAATCTATAGGTTATAAAATTCAAAATCAAATTGAAATTATAAGGATCTTACTCAAAATAAAGACCATAGAATTAAATTGTGCATATTTGTCTTGTATCACATATAGCATTTATCATGTTGTTACTATAATTATACACAAAGTACGCTATTATATTACTATAAATATAAATTAAGGAAGGAAACATGGGCCTAAAACAAGATGAAACTGTCTTTTACTGAACTTTAACCAAATGACTTACCCCTCTGTTTATTTCTCCAATTCTAGAATAGAAGTAATATTTTTACCCTGAGGCTATTATGAAAACTAAAAGATAGTCATTTAATAATATAAAATGAAGCTGGGGAGATAGCTCAGTGGCCTAAGTACCTGCCTGTCAAGTACAAGGTCTTGAGTTTGATCCCCAGCACCAAAAAAAATTTAAATATTAAATTAAATTTTTATGAAAATTGTTAGTTGCTATATTCATTCTTACATTTTTTTTTCAGTACCAGGGATCAAACTTTGGACCTTGCACTTGCCAAGCAGGTGTTTATGTCACTGAGCTATCTCCCCAGCACTATATTCATTCTTAAAACGTGACTGTTTTTCCAATTTTACTGCCTTCGTTTGTAAATCAAATTGTATTTAGTCATCTTTCTCTTTAGTGTTTAAATTTACTTAAAATATATAACATCTGTATAAGGCACATGCTTTAAAAAATATTTTTTCTGTATTTTAGGGAAGGTTCTATAGGGTATTCAGGGTCTCACTACTAGATCAGATTTGTAGTGATTCTCCTGTTTACAGCCTCCCAAGAGCTGGGATTAGAGGCATGCGCCACCAGACCTAGTCTCAATTGCTGTCTCAGCATGCCCTGGGGGCAGGGCCAGCATGGCAGGCCAGGGGATCGAACCCCTGGTCCCTGCACCTGCTTGCAGTTACTTTAATCTGCTGAGTTATCTGGCCAGCCATTAAAAAAAATATTAAGATATACATTTCTATTAAAAGGAAGAAGCAAACTATGGATTTTTTGTTGTGGAAGTAACTTGAATCAATTGATTATAAGTTGTATTTTTATTTATATATATAAAATTTTGGCAAAAATTAAAAATTATCACAAAAAATGTTGCTGTCTCAGAGCTATGGCATTTTGTAATTCAGTAAGACTGATTTTATATGTAAAAAAAATTTATGATGTCATCATGATTATAGATCTAAATAAATCAAATAAAATGTTCATTGCACACTTATATTCTTCTGACTCTTGAAACTAAAGCTACCTTAGGATGGTATTTAGGTAAACTTTTATTTCAAGACCTGCAAGTGGTGTCAGTGTTCTAAGTATTTTACTTTCCTGTTAACGAGGTACTTCTGAGTCACACCCTGGTTGCTGTAGTGATATCGCTTGTATACTGCTGTGTGTTGCTTCTTCTCTTAGCGACACTGAAGTTGTGGCTTTAGGTGCCTCACTCTTTGGCCCTTCTTCTAACCATTAGATCAGTGTGCAGCATTGCTAACACTGAGCAACCTGTGAGCCATGTTAGAGATTTTGATTTGAGTTCACATAAAAATACGGGAAGATCGTTGCTGTTCATCTCCAGACCTTGCATTTTAGCATTGCTGTTTCTGCTGTAACCATGCACCCTTCTGTGGTCCACATGACTGACTGCTCTTTTTTCTTACGTCCTTTTAAGCAAAGTAAAGCAGCAGCTCGGCTGAGAAAAGATATGAAAAAGATAGCAGCAGTGCCACTGAGTGAACAGCAGGATCCGGCCTATAAAAAGTTATTTGGAGTGAGCCTGCAAGAGCTTCAGCGGCAAGGGCTCACCAAGGACGGAGTGCCCACTGTGGTGAGGAGCATCGTGGAGTACTTGGTGCAGCACGGTGAGTCCCAGCTCCTTGGTAAAGGCAGCCTGGTTCTCTGGAAACCACTTCGTAACGTATGATTTGGATAGTCTCTAAGCATGCTAGTTAAGATAGCAGATTGTTGTGTAACACGCTGTTCCCTTGAAAAAGGATGTTCCTGGGCCGGGGATGGAGCTCACTGATAGAGCATTTGCAGGTGCAAGGCCGAGCAGATGGATGCACTACTGCCTAACGCTGTTTTGACAATGCTGATTTAATTAATCATAAAGCAATTACTTTAATTATTGAAGTTTTTAGATTGGATTTTTGTAGTTTTAAGAGTCAAAAAAAAGCTCTTAAAATTCACAGTTCTGAGGCTACTAATGGGATCTCTTGATCAACTATATTCCAACTGGTAGTCATTAACTTTTAATGTTACCAAATATTTTTTGAGCGCCTCTCTCAATTGAGGTCAATCATGAACTTATTGGATGTCTTCACTGTCTTTATATACTCAACAGGACTACACAAAAGGGGTGAGTACTATCAGGGGGTAACTTTGTTTTTATTACAACACAAAACATTTGAAAAATCCTTATCCCATCTTCATTGCTGACTGCTATGTAAGCCACGGATTTTCGATGTTTTTATTTGCAATAAGACTTCAACCTGGACACTTGGAGAAAATGCTTCCACATTCCTTACATCTATACTTCTCATGCAGGGCACTTTAATGGAGAGCATAAAAATATCAATAAACTTTAAAAAGATTTGGGAAGGAAATATTCTCAGCAAAAATGTTGGGGTTTAAAATACTAAAATAAGCACAGATATTGTGAAGTAAAATATAACATTTATAGAAATTTTTATTTTGTTTTAGTACTGTACTAGAGATTAAACCCAGGGCCCTCTCATAAAGATACATCTCCACCTTTTTTTATTTACCTACGTTTTTACTTTTAAATCAGAGTCTTTCTAAGTCACTAGGAGCTTGTGATCCTTTTACCCCAGAGTGCTGGGATCACAGGCATGCTGCCACTATGCCTGGCTTCAAATTTGTAGGGATTTTAAATACACAAAACTTTAGGATTCCAAATGTTCTCTCCTTCCTTAGTTTACTTCAGGCCCTATATCCTCGCCATAAGAACACGTTGTTGGAAGTTGATGAGGGGCACTAATTTTGTGTCTTCTATTAGAATTCAGCTTTTGACAGGAACCATGTGAGAATGTATGGTCATTCCTCACCAAGTCATGTTTTCATGTTAATTAAATAACTATTGTCAAGTATGTAGATAACAAAATTACATTTTATTCTTAAAACTGAAGACCCAAGGTTATGTTCTCACCTTGTGAGAGTTATTTCCTCGTTTTTTAAGAAAGATAGGCCACAGGATAGCCAGAGTTTTAGAAAACAGTTCCAAATTTGTTCAGATACTTTTAACACTTTAAACTGAAGTGTTACAACATAGAGGAGGATGGGACCCAGATGCATAAAACTTTGAAGACAGATGGTTCAGTTAAAAATGAGCCTCTTAGCAACTTGTTTCATCTGTTACATATAGTTGTTCAGGTAGACAATGGAATAATGAGGTGCAATCACCTAAAATAATTTAATACCTCACCATCAAACCCAGAGCTTTATATACCTCTGCCTAGGGAGGGATCTTACCACTGAGCTATATCCCCAGCTCTAAAATTATTATTTTTGTTTTGGTTTGGTTTTTTGGCAGAACCAGGGATTGAACTGAGGCCCTTGTGCTTGCCAGGGAAGCGCTTATTCCACTAAGCCATCTCCCCGGCCCCCTAAAATTATTTTATTTAGACATAATCACAAATATATCACAAACTGCAAATCCTATAAGGATTCAGTGTTCTTTTCTATAACATTGATTTAATATATATGGTTATTTTACAATTTTAATTTTAAAAATTATCTATACTGTCTTCCATATCTGTGGTTACTGCATAGAAAGATTCAACCAACTTTGAATGAAAAAAAAAAAAAAGGTTTTCAAATTCTGTGCTGAACATACACATTTTTTCTCTTTATTCTCTAAACAATACAATAGAACAATTATCTACTGAACATTTACATTGGATTACAAATTAGGTAGAGATTATTTACATTATACAGGAAGATATGCATATATAACACCAATATATATAAATGACTTGAGCATCTCTGCTTTAGTATCCATACGGTCCTAGAGCCAGAACCTCATGAGTACTAAGGGAGGAATGTATATTCATTTATATGTGAATGGTCAATAAACTCACATAGTTCAAACTATAAGAGAATGCACTGTGAAAAGTGTCTCCCTCTAGATCCTGTCTTCTGACCTTTATACTTAAATTATATACTTAAGTAGTATAAGCTATACATTTTAGTGGTTTAAAGCAGTAACTCTTAATCAGAAACATAAAATAGAATCACTATTGACATCTTTTTAAAATATAAATACATTGGCAACATTCTAGAGTCATACAGAATCAGAAGCTTGGTAGGCAAGCTGGGAGATGGCCTGCCACCTGCAATTAAAAAATGCTTAATTACTATACAGACAATCAGAATCCCCTTCTTGAATTTTTTTGGTACCAGAGATTGGATTCAGGACCTTGCGCTTGCCAGGCAGGCACTTATGCCACTGAACTATCTCTCCTGCCCCCCTTCTTTAATCTGAAACTGTCAGGTGAATAAGCCAAATAACCTATGTAAATTTGAAAGGTACTATGAAGTTTGATAGGAAAATACTCTAATTTGTTTCGTTTAATTATTTTGTACTTTTTATTTCAAGTCTTCAAAATTTATTGTTCATCTATGACACAGTAGGTACCACTCAGGTGTAGGCATAGGGTGACTGGTCATATACTTCAATCACAGGTAAATCTTTTGCTTGTACTTAATTGTTTCATGTATGAGGATATGAGGGAAAATTCTTATTTTAAAGTAATTTTAGGACAAAAAGGGTTTAGCAAGGCCCATTTTAAGGCCTTTAAACAGACTTTGAACTTTTTCTTTTAAAATATACACATATAGCTTAGAAGGTACACTATATTGAAACTTTTTTTTAGTAATACTTGGGGTTGAATCTAGGGTCTTTAGTATGTAGGCAGGTACTCTTCCACTGGGTTGTGTCCCCAGCCCTCATTTTAAACTTGTATAATAACTAATCATATTGGCAGTTTTAGTGGCTACCTACTCTTTAGTGTGAAGGGGCAGGCCTAAGGGCTCTTTTTAAACAGTGTAAAATTCTGCAGTCACCACCAGGTGTCACAATATGCTTATGTATTGGCATCCTATTTCTTGCATCAATCCATGCCTTTAGACAAACTTTGACTTCTGCCATATTGAGTTTCTATTGGTGTAGGCATGGAATTATAAATATTTCAATTATGCAAAACATTAGCTTCAGTGGTTAGATATAAACATAGGTAATTGCTCCCTCACTTCTAAATTTCTATTAAGTTGTTTTTTTAGCATAATTAACCCATATATCTGAAATCTAACATAACTGGATCTCTAAAATGTATGGGAGTAGGACTGGGGGTAGTGGCTCATATCTAATAAAATTACATGGGAAGTTAAAGTAGGATTACAAGTTTCAGATCAGCCTGGGTAACTTAGTGATATCCTATCTCATTTTTTTTTTTCAAAAATTTTTTTAAAAGGCCAGCCAAAGAGCTCAGCAGATTAAAGTGCCTGCAAGCAGGTGCAGGGGCCTAGGGTTCAATCCCCAGGCCTGCCGTGCCGGCCCCACTCCCAAGACATTCTGAGCCAGCAATGACACCTGGGTGTGGTGGTGTGTGCCTGTAATCCCAGCTCTTGGAAGGCTATAAACAGGCGGATCACTGCGATTCTGATCTAGTCCCTGTAGACCCTTCCCTAAAATAAAAAATAATAAAAATTAAAAAAAAATTTAAAGGCCTCAGAATGTAGCTCAATGTGAGATCCTCAAGGTCTGTCCCTAGTATTGCCAGACAAACAGACAAATAAATAAAGAGTAAATAAATAAAGAGTAGGAAAGTTTAAAGAATATATACATAGCCTGGTAAGTATCATGGATATTACATGTATTATGCAGCCTCAAAGGAACTTTTGAAAACTTCCTGGATTTTATTTTCCAAAGTCTGATATATGAGTACAGGGAGAGAGTTGGGGGTCTTCCCTGCTTAAAAATCACTGAGTATAATGAGAGCTGTTTTGGGTGGGAGACATTCCTCAGGAAGAGAGTGGAGCATACAAAAAGGATTAAGAGCAAAAAGTGGCCAAGAAGTATTAGCTTTGGGGACTTCCATTTAGACATTATCTTTCCATTAGAATAGTCCATTGGCATCACAGGCCTTGAATGCCACAGATAGTCCTTGGAGTTGAGTAGTTATTTTGGAAATCCTGAAAGTATTTTTATTTGAGGGATAGTTTTTTTTTTTTTTTAATGCAAGACATTGAAGGAGAAAGTCAAGGTTAAAGCTAGAAAAATGTAAAGTCTGATTGAAAGTGCATTTGCTGGACAAAAGAGAATATGTACAATTAGGTTTTTGAGCTGGATAAATGCAGAAATAGGATCCAGAATTCTAGAATTTTAGGATTTGATCTTTAACTAGGAATAGAATGCTCCTTTATTGTGTGTTAACTGTTTGATATGTTTCTGAACTTAAAGAGTGAGGAAAACAGAGACCTTGGAAGTTTTGAATGACTAAGCTGACATTCTAATATGGCAGAACGTACTGTCTTCTCAATTGTGGTCCCTTTCAAGGCTTTGCTGATAGGACCAGCCAGGACTTCAGTCTTATCAGTCCAGTCTGGACAGGACTTTCCCTTCCTCTCATCTGTTATCTGTGGTCTGCTGACCTAAGGGTCTTAGATGCTGGCTGTTGGCCAGAAACCACCCTCATCCCTTGCCTATGGTGCTTTCCAGAGAGTAGCTAACAAAACAGAGCTTCCTCAGAGGGAAACTGCCAGCAAGATGCAGATCGGGAGCAACAACAAGCAGGGAAGGTGGCCAAGGGCTTTTATGAGCTAGTCCAAGTGAGAGGGCTAGATGAAGTCATGAAGCTAAGAAGTATGGGAATCGTGGGACCTATTTTAGGAGCTACCTCCCATATGCATGGCTGGTATTTCTTCTGATTAGTGAGGCTTCAACGATACTAGTTGTTAAATATTTTTAATATAGCTGGTTTTAAATTTTTTGTCAAAAGCTTTTATCAGAATTGGAGCTACATTTGCATCAACTTATTATATTGTTGCATCATATTTTATTATATTTTTTCTGTATTTTAGGGAAGGGTCTACATTGCTCAGGGTCTCACTACTAGATGTGATTCTCCTGTTTACAGCCTCCCAAGAGCTGGGATTACAGGCGCATAGCACCATGCCCAGTCTCAATTGCCATCTCAGCACACCCCAGGGGCGGGGCTGGCACAGCAGGCCCAGAGATCAAACCCTCAGCCCCTGCACCTGCTTGCAGGCACTTTAATCTGCTGAGCTGTTTGGCTGGCCCTAACTTTTGATACTGATGTGCTTCATAATTAACAGACAGATAGGCAGATATGCATGGATATATATACACGTACACAATATATCACAAACTGCAAATCCTATAAGGATAATGACAGTGTTTGAATTTTTTTCACAATCATTTTTTTTTTCAGTACCTAACATAGTACTAGAAGCTCATTAAATATTTTTTGGATTAAAGAATTCATGAAATAGCCAAATTATAAGGAAATAGCCCTCTTTTGTTTTAAAAAGAGCAAAAGGATTGGTGGGTAAGAGAAACAAGCAAAAGCTGATAGGCATGACCTGGTACTGTAAAGAATTGTAGTAGGCCACAGGCCTCAGGGCTTACGTCTTCACTAACATGTACGATTAGATCCTTAGAGGAGGAGGGCAGAGTCCTGACCTCAGCGCACTCCTTCTACGTGTCACTGCTGTTTAACTCATTCTCTGACACACTTGATTACACTGAATGGAAATCAGTATTTTCTGCCCCATTCATCTTTTACAGTGTCCCCCTTCTTACTTTTCAAACCTTAATGTTACCTTTTGGCTCTTTGTCCACTGCTTTATTTTGTACAAAATGAATCACCTTTGATCTGCTTCCTTTCCTGTTTCCACCAGGATCTCAGTTTTACTGCCTCGAAGTAGAAAACTGCAATCTCCCCAAGGAAAGCCCTCTGTCCTGTCATTCTCTACTTACAGACTGCTAAATCTTCTTTAAGGCTTGAGTTTATTTTGTATTTCTTCTACTTAAAACTCCAGTAGTAGAGCCTCACTGTGTGACTTGACATCAGGCTCTGTCCTGTTCTGTGTGGTTACACCACCTTTATGTGGCCTAAGCACCTCATGTAGCACCTTCCTACCCTGCTTTATGCCATCTTTTATTTATTTATTTGTTTGTTTGTTTATTTATTTATTTATTTATTGTATTTTAGGGAAGGGTCTACAGGGTGTTCAGGGTTTCACCACTAGATTGGACTCATAGTGATCCGCCTATTTACAGCCTCCCAAGAGTTGGGATTACAGGTGCGTGCCACCATGCCCAGTCTCAATTGCCATCTCAGTGTGCCCTGGTGGCCAGGCCAGCAAACTCAGGGATCAAACCCCTGGCCCCTGAGCCTGCTTGCAGGTGCTTTAATCTGCTGAGCTATTTGGCTGGCCCTGTCTCTTTTTGGTGCTTTATTTTGTATATTTGTCTCTTTCTTGGGGGCAGATCAAGGTTTTATGAGTACAGATATTTAATACTTCTATTAACTATCACTATGAGAAAATATCCAAGGAGATTAACTTATAAAGAAAACTAGCTGTTTTTATGACTCATATTTTTTGAGGTCCCAGTCCAAGATCAAGTGACCCCCTAGCTTTGGGCATCTGGCAGGGCAGCACATCAAGTAAGACTATGTGGTAGAGCAAAAGGCTCGCTTCATCAGGTAGAAATCAAACAAGGATAAAGGAGTTACATATGGTAACACAGGCCTTATAATCCTAGCACTCTAGAGGCTGAGGCAGGCAGCTCTCAAGTTTGATTCCTGCCTGGACCACAAAGCAAGTTCAAGTCCAGCCCAGTCCTTACAGCCTCCTTACCCAATAAGGGGCTCACCTTCTAGAGCCTTTATATTAGCATTTAAATTTTGTTTCCAAGTTGGAAGGTATTGACATTTTAACCACAAAAGGCTCTGAAGCTCAAGTTCAAGCATCATCTTGGGATGGGGCTTCCCAGGATTACAACCCTAAGCCTGCCATTTTGCTGTGCTTTGGCCAAAGGGTAAGGTGTCCATTCTGCAGGAAGCCTTCCCTATTAGCCTCAGCTGACCCAAGCAAGGATCTTTTCTCATGCCACTTTATAGTTTCAGAGTTCTACATTTTAAATTTAGTGATTGCTTATTTCTTATTTAGTGGCTGCTTATTTCTTGAACTATTACAAAAGTGATTGCATGTAGTTCAGACTTTTGTTGTTGTCTTTTTAAGACAGGGTCTCACTATGCAGTTCAGGCTAGCCTTAGGCCCACTTTGTAGCCCAGGCTAGTCTCAAATTCACAAGGATCCTCCTGCCTTTGCCTCCCAAGTGCTGGGACTACAGGTGTGCATCACCATGCTCAGCCTAGTTCAGAACATTTTATAATTTTTGTTTAGAAAAAGTGTTTCTGAAATGCTAAACCATCCTTGAAATGCAAGGTAAGTTTCAGATATGAGGTAAGATTTTACGTAGAT